AAACTGTAGTGGTGTCCAGAAACTACACTTAGACCCCATTTAGATATGGTACGCTTATGCTCAAATGTGCAAACGTCCTCGACGGTTTAGTGGTGGCGTGATCGCTTTGTGTGAGGGAGTTTGTGATTCGTTTCCCGACTAGGTCAAACCAAAGGCTTTATATGTATTTGTTTCTGCTCTGCCAAGCACGAGACATTTATAATGAAGAGTAAAGACCGCGTCTGAGTAGGGTGATGCATGACTTTCTGTGGATATACTGTTGCCTTGTGAGCTGGTACATTAAAAATCCGACTAAGCGTGCCGTTTTATTCAACGAATAGGATTTTTGTATCTCACTGACATGTTTCCTGCATATGCGTGTAATATTTACTGCTGGACGTTAGGCAGTCGACAGTCAATCAATCGTTCAAATGTACAAACAGTCAAGGAATGAATATCTTTAAATCAGAGCTTTTTTTCTTAGTAAAAGGAAGATAACTCTAATGAAAAAATTCACAACAAATGATATTGTCTTGTAAAATTACTGAGAGATATTGTATTCAAAACATATCACAAAAGATATATATTAAACATATCGAGTCTTTGATTTTTTTTTCGTTTGTGAATTGATAGACCTGCATATGTATCAGTTTATCCTACAATCTCTCTACCATCTATTGCACAAATAACAGGCATATAAATAAAGTCTCCTGGTATCCTTCCTCTATATGCGAACGGCAATTATGAAAATGACTGTTTACGTCATTGTTCAGTGTTGAATCCTCTTCGCGGTCCGCGTTTATTTCATGAAAAAAAAACAAAAAAAAACGATAAACTTTAGCAACAAAACAACAAAAACAGCCAAAATATATCTATATAAAGTACACAGCCAATTAGGAATTAACTTAAAAGGTGGTTTGAATAAATTATTGGGTTTACCTACAAAATTATGTCTCTCTGTCTGACAACCTCATCCCAAAATCAGGCAAAAATGAAATATATGAAAATTATGTAGGAACTCATGATAATGGTGACTGCAACCAAGCAATTTGTAAATCCTGTATTTGGAACTTATGTTTGATGACGCTAAAAACTGTAAAAAAAATATCGACATCGTTTCTAAGTTAGAAATGGAAAAATCATGTGCAGGAAATATATCGTCCAGATTTGAGGGTCATGGAAAGTGTGCTTTTTTTTTTAAATATGTTATCATTTAGTCTGGTGGAATCGATTTCCCAAAAAAATCTTGTTTTCAGTTGAAAAGCAAAGCATGGTGTTTGTACAAACACAACACATCTGCCTACTCATCTACATTTGTACATCAAACTTGGTAAGAAAACTCATCGTAGATACCAGGATTAAAATTGTGTTCGCCAGACGCACGCTTCGTCTACAAGACTCACCAGTGACGCTCGAATAAAAACAGCCAAAAAGGCCAAATAAAGTACGAAGTTGAAGACCACCGAGTACCCTAATTCCGAAATGTTTGGCCAAACACAGTCGAGGTAATCCATTCTTGGGGAAGAAAACCCTTAGTATTTCAGTAAATTTTAGAAATAATTATTTTACAGATGAAGACACATGTTTGATATTCAAGGTTTAAGAACAAGCTCAGATAAAACCTTATCACCATAAGTCAGATGTGTCAGGCATTGCATTGGCTTTGTAAAGTCGAAGCAACCTTCAAATACAATGTCTGAGGTTCATATGAAAGTGCTTTGTACAGCTTTTAAAATATGCGATATATCTCTTGTCATCAGCTTGTTACCGCTAAACTTCATAATAGAGATAATTAATGACTAGTCTTTACAGTCAAACAGCATTTTTCAAAACTTCCATTCAAATCATGTGTTGCAATTAAGGACAAACTTGACTTTCATGTTTGCAACGCATGTGTCTATTGGTGAGTAAAGTATGAAAAAGTAAAACAGTCCTTTTCAGCTTCCTCTTAATCAATAATTAGCTCACCTGGCCCAAAGGGTCGGTATAAGCGATTATCGTTGCTTGACTTGTTCAACGGTGAACTAAACATTATAAAAGAACTCATCTGGATCAACTGGGAAAATTTGGTTAACTGGGAATCGAGGATTGGGGATTTACAATACGAAAGATCATGAGCTACGTAACTTCTATTCTAAAATTATATATTTTGGGAAAACCAGAAATTTAAGATGGTCTTCACCATGTTGACTCCTCGACGCCATCGTTTTAAAATGAAGAGCACACACCGTTGTTAGAAACAAGCGTTAAAATGCGCACTGTTAAATTCATGAGCCACCTCAGGCTTAATCGTAAATCTGTATCTGTATTTCCCACTTCTGTATATGGATGGGTACGTCACAGATTCCTTTCGGCTACTGTGTGACGGGTTGGTCTGTGCACAAGTTAGTCGCGCATGCTGAGGAATGCTGATTTAAACTCCTCGGTTGTAATGACGCACACTTATGAGTCCTCCAGATGGTTCCAATCTACTGCAGTGCGCACAAAAATAGAGTTTTTGAACTGGTCGGTCTACTAGATGAAAGTTTAACTATGACCGCTCGTTTGTTTTTACGGACTTGTTGGTCTATAATGTTCATGGTTATTATAGGTTGTTGCTCTGATTTGTCGTTTTGGTCTATGAAATTTAATCAGGTTGTCAGGAGGAGCCGGCTGGTATCTTCCCCTCAACCACTTTGAAAAAGAAGATCAGTCGTTGTTGTTGACGTCTTGATTGTAGAAACGGAAGATGAAGTTCTGATAGCATTTTTGTCATACATCCTTCCTCTCTCGATTTGTAGTCTTTTGTGATAAATCTAGCACCTCTCTTTTGTATGGATTCAAGTTTATCGATGTCTTTTTGCGTGTATGGGTCCCAAATGAATGATCCATACTCCATAATTGATCTTACGAGTGCTATATATGCTGTTTTAGTTACGGCATTCCATAGGGCAGTGTTGTATGTTCCTCCTAAGGAAGCCTAGCGTGGAACTGGCTTTTTTTTTACATGTATTTGCTATTTGTTCCTTCCATTTAAGGTCTTCCTGTATTTGTAGCCCAATGTATGGGTTGGATGACACTTGTTCAAATCAACCGTTGGCTTTTACTTTTTAGGCTTAGCATATAGCACTTTTTGGCGTTGAAGCGCATACCCCAGTCGTCGGCCCATTTTTCTAGTGATTTGAGGTCCTCTTGTAGTTTGTTGAGGTCATTTTGAATTTTGATTTCCCTGTACAGCAAACAGTCGTCTGCAAATAGTCGGACTGACGAGTTTACTGCATCTGGTAGATCGTTTATGTGACACAAGAAGTGGATGGGTCCTAGCACCGTTCCTTGGGGGACTCCGGATTCAACTGAAGCATCACTCGAGTGTTCTCCTTCAAGTTGGACTCGCATTTTTCTTTCAGTTAGGAATGAAGTTAGCCATTTGTGGATATTTCCTCTAATTCCATATTAATTTATTTTGTGCAAGAGTCGATCATGAGGTACAGTATCGAATGCTAGCTTTGGAAAAATCCAGAATCGCAATGTCTACCTGGTTTCCTTTGTCGTATGACTGGAGCATGTCGTGGATTGTGATGGCAAGTTGGGTCTCACAGGAATATCCGGATCTGAAGCCATGGCTTAGCGATGTCAATACATTATGCTTTTCAAGATGTTTAAGCATATGTCGGCATATGATGTGCTCAAGTAGCTTACATGGTACTGATGTCAGTGAGACTGGTCTATAATTTTCAGTGGACTGTCGATCGGTCTCCTTTCTTGAACTATGCTAAATGTTAAATTGCAGCATAAAAAATATATTCCTACATTGTAGGAAAATTTTAAATCTTTTTGAGTTTGCTGCGAAACCGGAGAAAAATTCGGTGATTTAGCCTTTATAATAAGGTATATGTACTACTTTAAAGTATCATACGTTATTTCAGCTTTTGTTTTTCTATTTCAGTAATTTTTAGGGAAAGAGATGTGATTTTCCTCGGAGTTCAGAATTTTTTTGATTTTACTTTTTACATATTTTGATTTCATAATTATTTAATTAAAAGTTTTAATCTTTTCATTTTTAGATACTCCTATTTGGGTTTCAGTTACATTTTTATTAGTTATACAAGAGACATATATATATATTTCTCTAACTCTTCGTCAATTTATCCCTTTCTGCACCCATTGTATAAAAAAAATTTAATCAACGTGTGGTTCATTTGATCTCAGTTATTCATTGGTTAAAATCCGATTATGACGTCGAATTTTCTTGCTTTCCTCTGAATTTCCTATTGTGACGGCATGAAAAAAGGCGACCATGCCTGATGACGTCACATAAAAAGAACACATCTTTTTGCAGATCATTCGAAAAGACGGAATAAATTTGCCTGCGTATTGTTTGAAAATCATTAGAGAAACAGATTCCACATCCAAATCTCGTGTAATACGATATATATCCACTCTCGACAGTTAAATTTTAAATATTTAAAACGCTCGGCGAGCCTCGCGTTTTAAATTTGAAAATTTAACTGTCTCGAGTGGATACATATCGTATCACACTCGATGCAGTGGTAGAATCTATATATATATATATAAGCAGAGACATATAGATATTTAGTATACATGTCTCTGATATAAGTAACTATCTAAGTTAACAGTGAACTAAACATATGTTTGACATGTTTAGCTTCTGAGATTTTTTTTGAAACTTTCTTGGGGGGAAAAGTAAAATAGCAAAAATACCGAACTCCGAGGAAAATTCTAAACGAAAAGTCTCTAAGCAAATGGCAAAATCAAAAGCTCAAACGTCAGGCTCAAACACATCAAACGAACGAATAACAACTGTCATATTCCTGACTTGGTACTGTACAGGCATTTTCTTAAGTAGGAAATGGTTTGGATTAAACCTGGTTTTATAGCTAGCTAAACCTCTCATTTGTATGACAGACGCATAAAATTGCATTTAATTGACACCGATGTGTGAACAAAACAAACAGACAGAAATGGGTGCAAATAAAAAAAAAAACTCGAGTTATCTACCTTACAGGTTCTCCCAACCGGAAGTGGTTGTTCTTCGTGTGAAAATGGCAGCGTTCAGTTGGTCCGCATTTATCTTTGCATATTTAATTAATTTCGTGCAGGTTCTTGGAGAATGGAACACAGAAGACTACCTTAAGCGAGAACACACACTCGTGAAACCGTATCAAGGTGAAACAGTGTTCTTGTCATGCATGGTTTAAGCATTGGATTGCTGCGTCAAATGTGCCCCTCTAAGATTTTCGTCTGCATGTTCAGTGGGTTTCCTTTGTTGTAATTCTTAATTTTATTCAATACATTTGGTGGTTATCTATCCCATTTTACAATTAGGCCTAAAATTGAAAAGTCTTTCCATCTGAATAATGTAAACGATTTTTAGAAACAGTTCAGAATAAATTTCCAGGAAATAAGTTGATGAGGTTGAGGAGGAAGTTGAAGCAAAAAAGCTATTTTCAAGAATAAAGAATTGTTTATGAAAGTCAAATCGTTAAAAAACATTTAACGAAAAACAAATATGAAAAACAGCAACAAACGACAACCACAGATTTACAGGCTCCTGACTTGGGACAGGCACAGACAGAATACACCTTATCGCTATTCCCGCTTGACCCGAGAATCTGTCCCGCTCGAACTTTTGACGTCATACAACAATCACTTTTCCATTGTGGCGTCAGACATTTTCTATTATGACGTCAAAATTTTACGGGAACTTGTGTGATGTCCAGTAATGGCGGACAAATAGCGATAAGGTGTATGTGGCAGGGATACACGTTTATGGGTGATGCAATCCTCCTTATCCAGGACAGTGGTGTAACAGCATGACGAAAGAACAAACTATGCAAATCAGTTGAAAAGGGCTTAACTCTACTGATTGAAACAAAGTACAAAAACAACTAGCTAAAACACACAAGACACACAAAGTACAGCTCTGAAAGTACTCCCAGTTACTAAAAGCTAGCTCAAAGCCAATAACTAATTATTACATTACATAATTTGAACATTGGAAGCTGGATATGTACTGATTAATATTTCAGTTTTCACAAAAACAACTAGCTAAAACACAAAAGACACACGAAGTACAGGTCTGAAAGTACTCCCAGTTACTAAACATGCATAAAGCTAGCTCAAAGCCAATAACTAATTACATGTATTACATTACATAATTTGAACATTGGAAGATTGATATTTCAGTCTTAGATACATTAATTTGGCTATTAGTTATAGACAACTTGTGTGTCTTAGACTTAAATATCAATCAGTACATATATGTATTCTGTATCCAACTTCCATTATTGTTTAGAGGCCAGCTGAAGCTGGCTTCCAGGTGTGGGATTTTCTGAATCCATGATATCTCGGCCTATAACAAAATCAAACTATAACAAACTCGGCCTATAACATAATCGGCCTCCCAAAATCGGACTATAACAAACTCTGACTACTAGAAGAATATAAGTATGATGTTTGATTTTGTTTTTATTGGAAATTAATTATCAATACTTAATTTGAAATTAATAATGATTTACAATTAATTAAATAATTTATTTTGAACATTTTAGAAGCGAGTAATATAAATGACATTAACAAGATATGTATAAAAAGAAAATTAAGAATACATTCATTTAATAATGAAAATCTACCACTGATTTGTATTTCTGTATTATAATTTGTAATAATGTCCCTCTCAAAATAATTTATCATATGCATATCTTAATTGATTCAACTGGAAATATGACATCATGCCAACATACTAACAACTGACACGTGTACTATTGACACCTATTTAATCACCCAAGTGAGAACAAAACTACCTGTAATTAAATGAAATTGTGATTAACTAAATATCCAATATCCAGTATTTTTGATACTCCTTCATTGTGATACCTGAAGAAGTAACAACATGATTAAAAAAAAAAACTTTATAATTTTAATACCAGAAGTCACTTATACAAATTATGTATTTTTTGTTTTCACTTCAATCATAACAATTATATAAAGTCGTATTCTTAAACATTATATAATGAAAGAGCTATGTTTTAGATTTTAAGTATTCATTTAGACCAATTCAAAATTATATATAATGTCAGCACAAGCTTCTTTTTTAATGTTTTTAAAACATACATACTTTGAAAAAAAATACAACAAAAACTCCATATATAAATTAAACCCTTATAAGCCTGCCTATAGGAAGCTTATACAAAGAAGAAGAAGTATGCAAAATCATGCAATCAACTTTATTTTCCAAATGGTAATAAATGAATAATGAAGCAATACCTTTCCATCCATAGCAAGTAAAATGTTTATCAATATCATTATGAACAAGAACAATATATAGAAGCACTTACCAGTATTACATACTCTGTGTTGTAAACTACACGAATCACACTGTAAGGCATGTTGCTTTGTTGTCACTTTTCTGGAACACTCGACGCAGTGGTTGGTACCCATGTTGAGAATGATATGGGGATATTTTTTTCATGTTATTTTATAGAACTATAAGGTAAGATCAAAGAAATCTCTGTTGTTTTTTCAATTTTACTCCACATCTATTTTTAGATATATGTATAATAAATGTTTGCCTCGTCTTGCCTTTCTAAAAACATTGTATCTGTTTGATGTGACCATTTGAATATAATTACTTTTCAATTGGTGAATCCATTAATAAAGAATTACAGATTAGTGAAATTGTTAAGAAGAAATTCACTGTCAATCAAATTTCTCTTTGTTTGTATACTAATTATGAACACCAAGGATTAAACACAATACAAACACGCACACACGCCAATCATTAAAACATCTTTTGTCAATAAGAATAATAAACGAGAAAATCACAATAATATTTCAAAAAGAAGTTAATTATCCTCATTCAAACATATCAAATTCAACTCAAATAACACATATTTAATATGATGGATCTAAGTTTATTTAAATACATTTCTATACATTGTTTTTTCAAAAATATTTATCATAATCTCAAAATTCGTATATAATTTTTATATATAAAGTTTGTTTTTTATTAAAGTGAGAAAAAAAACCCACAAAACAATCTACTAATCGTAGTCCGAGTTTGTTCAATATATTTCCACATATAAATAATGGTAGGCTGAGTTTGTTATAGTCCGAGTTTGTGATAGGCCCATTTTGTTTTAGTCCGAGTTATCCAGCAGCAGGATTTTCTCACTTCGTTGAAGACTCATTGGTAGCCTTGGGCTGTTTTCTGCTCTTTAGTCGGGTTCTTCATTGTCTATTCTATTGAACTCATGAATTAATTTGATTTCTTATAACCATGATAATTTCAGGTTAAAATGCCAGTTTTTCATTGGTTATTTTTTTCATTGTACTAAAACACATGGCTCGGCATGTAAATACTTTTTTTAAATGTTACCCTCTCTGCAGAGACTTAATCAATTCAATTTTAAATCAAGAACATGAATAATTTAGTAGAAAATTAATTTTAAATCATTATTGAATATTTAAAAAAGAATATTAACAGACCATTCAGTTTTATGAATTAAATAGCACAGCTAACATGGCTAAGAGGGTGATAGAACAGTATGTTAACCATAGAAATAACTTTGACAACCTTGGTCGTCTTGGTTGAAAAAGTTTTTCTCATGGTAGAAATCTGCTCTATCATCCTATCATTCTATGTCATGTATGTGTTATTTATAAAGTGACAGCTTGTTTCATGAGTATGGAGATTCATATTCAAGCAGCGAATGCAATGTACATGATGTACTACATGTACCATTATCAATTTGTAAGAAATATATTAGAATATATATCTGTCCTTATTCATCAGTCTACTCATGAGACTCGTTACAAAGAACCTTTTTGTAACATTTTAAAAGTTTGCTTGACCAAATATTTGCTTGGCAGAAGTGAAGATCACATAGAAAAAACGAAAAAATTAGTCTGACAATTGGCAATACTTGTCCATTGTCTGACTGAACCAACATGTCAGTCAGACAGGCATATATTAGGACCTTGGAAGGTCTTGGAAATGATTTATAGCATACGCTTAAACCTGTATGTTTTTTTTTTCTGCAGGCTCTGGTGCTTCTATGCCTTTATGGGACTTTGTTGGTAGTACATTGGTAACTAATAGTTATGTTAGACTAACATCAGATCACCAGAGTAGACAGGGAGGGATATGGAATACACAGGTAGGATATAAACTTCTATTGAAGTTAAAATTCAATTCCCAGGTTTGTAGGACTGAGAGGTATTGTATATGAATACAATGGTTATTAGGAAAACATGTGCATGTACACAAAGTACACAGGTTAGACACAGGGATATGGAATTATTGACAATAAGTAACACCTTAGAAGTCTTATTTTCAGTAATTGATTCTAATGACATGGTTATCTCAGGGCAATCATCAGGTGTCATGAATGTAATTTTACTTTCTGTTGGGTAAATCATTCACACAAATGGCAATTTTTATAGTACATTGCCAACCTGGCACAAGGGTGTTTTGGAACAAGGTGTCGGGGCAGAATGGCACAGCTTAGGGCACCCAGTGTGCGACACCCTTCTATTTGGGACTAACGAGACCACTGGAATACACAGATCAGATGTATAACAACGTTGATTGCCTAGCTTAGAAAGAATTTGAGAGCATCAGTTATGAAATAAAATATTTGAATACACAGGTGGGTTATACAGGGGTTGACATGGTACAGCTATATCAAATGGTTTCTGATCAAGTGAATATTTAAGACAATGAGGAACTATATTTTTTTGTAAAAATATCATGAAAGTGTAGAACATGATTGTATGGAAAGTCTAAGGACTAATTTTATTTATCAAAAATGCTATTAAGTTGTAATCACAAATTACAGTTTTTTTATCAACAACATGGATATTCTCTGAACTCATCATTGCTGTTCACTCTTTTGTATAAATAAAAGGGATGTGTAGTATATGTCAAAAAGAAAACAACCAAAGGGCACAAGCTAAGAAACCCACAAAAATCTATATACATGTAACATTTAACAAGCATAATAAACACGTGTAGACTTTTGTCATGTTTGTGCTAAATGTATTCCTTGTACACATTCCATGAATCAATAGAATTATACTACAATAATCTGTCATCTTTTATTTCAGCCATGTCATATAAAAAATTGGGAATTACATGTACAGTTCAAAGTTCATGGTTCAGGCAAAAATTTATTTGGTGATGGATTTGCAATATGGTATACAAGAGACAGAAATCAACTAGGTAACATTACCTTAAACATTACAGTCTGGTAATACATGTATATATCCCACAGTATAATGTTTAATGAACATCTGAAAAATATCAAAATGATCAGTTGTTTTTTGTAAGAATAAAGGGTCAAAAATGATATGTAACACTTTACTTTGGTTTAATTGTTACTGAAAAATTAATAAAAGGGTGAAACAACATGTACACAATGTCTTAGTAGAGCAGTCACTCTGGGAAAGTATCAAAAGTGACTGCTCAAGAGTCATGAGAGAGGTGAACTTTTAAACAAGGTTCCAAAAATGGCCTGTGGATAGGATCAGGGCAAATTGTTTAACCTTAGTTGTTTCAATCAGTAGAGTTATTGTAATTGCAAGCCTTGAAATTAAAAATGGTGTATTATGGCGCTGTATAAAATTTGAAGAAAAATTCAAAATATGTTAATATTCGACGAGAAATAAGTTGGTGATACAGTCACAATGACAGTTTGGATGAATTCTCTTTTTATTGTGCAATCTCAGTTGCAAAAGGGTTTGGATTTTCATTTTTGACTTCAATACTGATAAGATATATTATTAGTCATGTTTATTTTGGTAGTTAAAAAAACATTAAAAAATGATCGTTGTTAAAAGTTGAAATGATGATTTTGTGCAAAATTATGTGACCGCTGACCGTGTTAGACATACAGGTGACAGTTGAAAAGTGTTAGATTGTAAAGAGATTAGGTTTGGGAGGGTCTCAAAGTGACCATAAACGGCAGGTAACAGTTAAGGCAGGTTTGACTGTACATATCTTCAGTACAAATTAGATACAAAATCTGTGTTTGAGCTTAAAACGTGGAAGTTACAAACACCTGCAAGGATCCATGCATGGAAAAATGTAAACATAATGCATAAACTTGAGTAGTACTAATTTACTAGAACAATATACACATCTGTTATCATACAGTGGCGGATCCAGAACTTTTCATAAGGGGGGCCCCGCTCCAGTCATGCTTCAGTGATTCCCTATATAATCAAACAAATTTTTTCCACAAAAGGGGGGGGCCCGGCCCCCCCTCCCCCCCTGGATCCGCCTATGTCATATTCATCAATCTATGATTTTCATAAGTGAATGATTAGGGCCCGGCCTAGTGGCGGGTCGCCCTATAGGGATCAGTCTGTCCATCCGTCCGTAACAAATTGTGTCCGCTCTATATATAGAGAACTGTTATAATTTCATACTTTATACTTGACATGTATATTAACCAACACCAGAGGGTGTGTCATAATGTTTGTACAACTTCGTAGGTCAAAGGTCAAGGACAAAAACTTCTTCTTTTAGTTCTTGTAAATCTCTTATAAAATTTTCATAGCATTTTCTCAAACACACTTGTATTCAAGAAATTAATTGCCAGACAAGGGTGTTTATCAGACAGTAACATCATTGAACATAGACTTTGCCTTTTTTCCAAAAATTGATTTAAATAGAATTGCAATGCAGAAAATATAGATCTTATTTTTATGTTATCTTTTAAATCATGTCTCAATGTATGTTTTACAGGCCCAGTATTTGGAAACAGAGATTTTTATACTGGATTAGCTATTTTCCTAGATACATATGCTAACCAAAATGGACCACATAATGTAAGAATATTTTATTAGTTGAATTGATGACAAGTGTTTTACAATGAATAGAATCTTAACTTGTGAAAAAAATAAACAGATATAAGTTTTTCATTGTTTCTGTGCATAATTTGATTAACTGGCTAGTTTATAACATTTATCTCAAATGTCCTTGTGTTTACTATTGGTTGTTGGTTTTTGTCTCGCCTCAACAAAGTCAGAAAATAAGACTTAGAAATGATGTTTTCTATGGCAGCATCAACAGTTTGTTAAAGTTTGTGATAAGGTCAGTTCATTACTATACATGTAAAAGGGAACCACTAATGGTAAGTCAATGATATTATTTTTGCAGTTGTATAAGCACTGACACGTCTCATTTCCATGGATAGATATATGGCTCCACACCCTCAGTCATGGTTCATTGACTTTTGAAACTTTTGTATAATTTACCTGTTAAAGTTTCTTATTTGGTCAATTTAAGGGGAACCACTTATGATAATATAAGTTAATGATATTTGGTATGCAGTTGTTTTAGCATTGGCACATCTCATTTCCAATGGGATTATTAAGCTCTGCCCCATTGGTCATGGTCTACTGACTCTGAAACTTTTGAAAGTTTTAGACAGTTTGCAAATTAAGTGTTAAGTTTCAACATTTGTATTATTCTACCAAAATTGCACGCTGACATATTGTGGTGTCAACTTTTTAAGTCATTTGATCTCTGGTGGAAAGTTGTCTCATTAGCAGTCATACCACATCATACCACATCTCCTTTTTTTATATTAACAGTTTATTTTTATGCCCCATTTATGGGCATTATGTTTTTCGGTCTGTTCATTTGTCTGTCCTTTCGTCCGTCTGTCCCACTTCAGGTTTAATTTGAAGGCATCCATGTACTATGGACACATTCTTGTTTACCAAGTTTTCAGAAATTTGTTAGTTTGCAGCAATTTCTAGTTTAATCAAATCTTCTGAATTCAGCATGTCTATGCAGCACTTACCTCCCCTCCTTCTTTAGATTCATAAATCATTTTGATTTTGATTTGGGCTGATGTTTGCGAATTGAGAAAAAAATTGATACCGATTAATAAAAGAAGAAACGTTGTGAAGATACTGGTCCTTTAATTCCCATCTTTACAGTGTCAGTCTACCTGAATGTGACTTATCACCGAGTTTGTACTTAAATGATCAACATGACAGGTGCCACATGTGGAGCAGGATCTGCTTACCCTTCCAGAGCAACTGATGTCACCAACAGATTTTTGTTAGGTTCATGTTGTTCAGTCTAGTTTTCTGTGTTGTGTTTTGTGTAGGGTTGTTTGTCTTTTTGTTGTTTTTTGTTTTATGCCATGGCCTTGTCAGTTTGTTTTTTGACTTATGAGTTTGAATGTCCCTTTGGTATCTTCCACCTCATTTTTATATTGGTATGACATTGGCGTCGTCATCGTCTGAAGACACATTGGTTTTCGCACTCTAACTTTAGTTTAAGTGAATGGATCTCTATGAAATTTTACCATAAGGTTCAATACCACAAAAGGAAGGTTTGGATTGATTTTGGGGGTTATGGTACCAACAGTTAAGGAATTAGGGGCCAAAAATAAGCATTTTTGTAACTTCCAGACATAACTTGTGTGTTAGTGTATAGATCTCTCTGAAATTGTACTACAAGCTTCCATATCACAAAGGGAAAGCTGGGTTTGAGTTTGGGGGTAATTGCCCTTAACGTTTAGGAATTTTGGGCAAAAAAAGGGCAAAAAAACAAGCATTTTTCTAGTTTCCAGACAATAACTTGTGTTCAAGTGTATGGATCTCTCTGAAAGGTACCATACCACAAAGGGAAGGCTGGGATTGAGTTTGGGGGGGTGATGAATCATAAGGGGGTTCAAAAAATTGGGGGGGGGGGTTCCTTTTTCTTTTCTTTAAAATTTTCCATTTTAAATTGGTTATTTCTGATTTATATATAAAAGCAAATAATAATGATATAGTTTGAATAGGTAAATTAAAAATTTTTAAGTTCTTAGACCACATTCATTCTGTGTCAGACACCTATGCTGTGTCAAATATTTAATCACAATCCAAATTCAGTGCTGTATCAAGCTTGAATGTTGTGTCCATACTTGCCCCAACTGTTCAGGGTTCATCCTCTGCAGTTGTATCAAGCTGCGCCCAGCGGAGCATTTTATTAAATATTTAAAAAAAACAAAGCTTAATAATTAAATTCCATACTTAAATATGTAAAATTGCAAGTTAGATGAAAATTGCCAATAATCCAAATAATCAATTTCAGCATGAGCATCCATATATATCAGCTATGGTTAACAATGGATCATTACATTATGATCATGACAGAGACGGAACACATACAATGGTATCAGGATGTGAAGCTAAATTTAGAAATAAAGATTATGATACATTTGTTGCAATCAGATACCAAGATAATGAACTCAAGGTCAGTATTTGTTTTATACAGAATTTAAGATTAAGGTTTTAGGAATTTAAAAAAAAAACGAAATTTCACTTAGACTCAAGTCTATGTATTTGACCTTCTATGGATAATTTGAGGTGTGATAAACTTGTGAAGTTAGAAGGCTTGATAGAAATGTTGATAAGAGGCATTGTAAGACCTGTTGAAAGTTGATATGAAGAGGTGAAAACCATTAGATTACATATTTTATAGTAGTTCCTGAATGTTAAAGACTTCAGCTTAAAGTATAGTATATTTACATGAACTGAAAGGCAAGCTAAAAATTTTGAATTCTTGTCTCAGATATTTTTGTTATGTCTAGACATTTTATTCTATAGATAAAACGATTTAAAGCAACATAATGTGTGTATGCTTCTCTGGAATATTACACATGTGAATCAGTTTAATAATAATAAGTAATTCTGTATTTTAAGGTTTCTTTAGATGTTGATGGTAAAAATGCTTGGAAAGAATGTTTTTCTGTTCATGGCGTTAAATTACCATTAGGTTATTTCTTTGGTGCCACAGCAGCAACAGGTGAACTAGCAGGTAAGATTTTTACCTATATATGTGTGCAGGTTACATGGTTGTGTGTGAATGTACAGTGGCAGCTGAGGCTTTGAAGTCTTTGTTTAGTACTTTCTAAGTCAGCAACATTCATCTATCAAGGAAATGTCTAAAGGAAAATAAAGTATATTTCTTATGTAAGTGCTGCTGGAATATTGCTCAGGAATAATTACAGCTTTTTTATGGTAGAGACATTTCAAAAACCATATGCTAGCTACTGGGTTTTGTTTGTGGTATTTGGTTTCTGTTATGTTGATGTATACTCATGATCTATTTTTTATTGAAAAACAATGTACCGGTATACTGTGGATTCATTTATTTTCGTGGGTACCAATTTTCGTGGATTGAGGAAAACTTGCATTTTCGTGGATATTTAATTTCGTGGTTTTGGCAAAGTATGGATATATTCCTTAAAGAAATTTGTAATTTGTTGAACATTTAAATTCGTGGTTCCCATGTACCCACGAAATCCATGAAAATTGGTATTCAACGAATAATAATGAATCCACAGTATACAATTTTAATGGAAAGTTGACAGCTTGAAAACTTGTCTTGGAAATACATGAAGATTTCAGTCTATACATTCTCAGAGATGCAACATGAATTTGAACCATGGTAGAGAAAATGTAATATATTGTAAATACCCTGATATTATTTCATGACATTGTTATTAATTTCTCTAAAAATACAATTATATAATTTACTACTATTATCATGAAAAATTCTAGTAGTTATTATACTGATGATATCATTCTATCAGTTAAAAGTAACTATCATTTGATGAGGATGACATTAACACATGTTACAATAGATTGAATTAATTGTGACTATGAATATTATTCTAATTATAGATAATCATGACATTATATCAATGAAGGTTTACCAGCTAGATACAAATGCACCAGCTGTAAGTTGTTTATTTACTTTTGTGATTGGATGAGAGATGATATAGTAGATATATTGTACGCCATACTGTATTTACTTTCTCTGGTTTTCACATTTTGTTAGAAAACTTTTGCTGTCAAAAATTGCACTTAAGAATAATTAAAGTTTTAACTGTCATCCACTTTGTTGTTTGATTCAGTATTTTTGTCTCAATACTTTTACTTTTTGTAAAGTCTCATGCAAAGAAGCTGAGAAGGGAATATATCGTTTTGTAAATTCTTCAGTTTGTTTGTCTGTCCTTCTATAGATATTGCATTAAAGGTCAGATTAAGCAAATTCAAATTGTAGAGCAATCTTGTGTCAGTTGATGCATCTGATCATATTTAGTTTTGAAGGTCCACACATAAGTTAAGTGACCTTGACATTCTATTAATACATAGAAGGATGATTTAGTTTGCTATAAGGTCCAGATCTGAGCAATAACAAATATTATAAGAGTGATCTTCTGTCAGTTGATGCATCATGTTTAGTGAAAAAGATCCAACTTTGGTGACCTTGACCTTCAATTTTGTAAGGATAGCATTGATTAGATTAGATCTGAGCAAGTGCAAATCATAGGAATTATATTGTGCAGTTAATTCATCATGTTAAGTGAAGAAAGTCCACACTTAAATTAGGTCACCTTGACCTTCATTATTGATTTAAGTAAAGATATTGGCAAACACTCAATGCCTTTATTTTGATAACAACCAGAGAAGTTGGAATGACCTGCCTAGGGGATGAAGGAGTAAATATTTCTTTGACAAGTAGGTCATCTAGTATCTGTAATTCTCCATTTTACACTAGTGAACTAAAATACAGCTCAAAATGTTCAGGCATAAAGAAAAAGTTTGAAAATTAGAATTTTAGTGAAGTAAATCCGATTGCAGTAATTCAGTTAAGAATTGGTCTCATACTAAATCTGTAACACACTATTATATGTTTAGAGTTAAAAAGATGAGCTTAATATCTACAAGGATAAGGACAAATGCTGGATTTCAGAATGATGAATGCCCAAGCCTTTGATTTTGGGAGAGGGGCATCAAAAATTTACTTGTATTTAAACTACAATCCTTTCTAGTTGAATTTGAAAGTTATTTTTATTTTTGAAATAAAGATGAGTTTATATTTCTGATTGAGTCAATTTTATGTGTATTATTTTAGAAATATGAACCAGCTGCTTATTCAGGATTACCTTCTGCAGATTCTATGGAGGCTCCCAGAGGTAAAGTATTATATTTTTTTACACAATCTAAATGGTAAGGACTGATTATAAGTGATTTTGATATAAAAATGTTCTGCTAAGAATCATTTAATTGAAGTGGATTAACTAAATCTACAAACATGACTGCTGTATATAATTTAGCTATTGGTAGAGAGGTTAGAAGAACCACTCTACAGTCTGATAATCTGAATTTTATATCCTCACTCATTAAGTGGATGGTATACTGAAATCACCTTTTCTATCCTTTTGTCTGTCCATAACTTTCAACAAATCAGACATATAACTCAACTTCTGTGTTTTAAAATAAGAATATGATATTTGGTAACAAAACTAATAATGTTGAGTTGCATTGTGTTGGTGATTTTCAGATCTGCTGGGCAAGCCCTAATTGTTTGAAGATACTTTGAATTTCTGTTTTCATAGAATTTTTGTCAATGCAGCAAGCAGGAGTATACTTTACCTGCCATTGCCCACACTTCTTTTTCGTTGATGTACAAAATGTAATTTTTGTTCTTTAATGCAATACATGTGGTCAAAAGCTTACATATGGAAAAAAAATGTCAGATAAATAACATTTTGAAATAACTTCAAGGTCAACTGTTTCTCTTTTCAGAGCATATATCAGATGAAAAAAGAGGAGCTGGTTTATCAGGGTGGAAACTGTTAGCAGTGATAATTTTAGCAATCATTGGATTAGGTGTTTGTGCTATAGTTGGATTTATCATATTTAATAAAAATCAAGATTATTCAAGAAAACGATTTTACTGATACCATTGTACTTCTCTAGCTGTCAATAATCAGACTTTGTAAATTATTTACAATATTCCTCAGGGCTATTCCTTTAAATGTATAGACTACTAAAAATTCACAATTTCAGAAATTACTTCTAAATTTTGCATCTACATGTATATGTTTATATATTTTCTCATATTTGGCATTTTTAATATATATGTATACGTATGAAAAGTTTCTCACTATCTCTTGGAATAGTCCTGACCAGCATCATCTGTTTTGTTCTCCATCTGAATGTATTCTGTAGTTGGATTCAGTATCATCATTGTGGATTGTTAATATTACCACAAGATTTTTTAATTGAAAAAAATGGAAGTCATAATATTTTGGTTTCCCTGAAAATTGTGAAAAATATTACATAATTGAAATCCAGTTCAAATCAAATAAGGAAACCACCCAAATTTGAGGATTGGAAATACATTCTATGGAGTTTTTCTCAAATTAATTCTTCAAGTTGTGAAATAGGTTATGATAAGGTTGATAAATATATCGTATATTATGAAGTGATGTCCATTTGAGAAATATTTCAAATTACAATATTTTTTTCCTGCTGATCCAACATTTTTACATAATTCATTTAATTTGAGGCAAAGATTCAAATTTTAAGAAAAAATATTAAGTAATTTTTTATTTTATCACATTCTAACTAAAATTATATGAAATCTATTATATGTCACTTATGTTATAAAGAAAGATATTAATGAGAATAAGTAAGAAAAGGTTATTTTCCTGGTAAAGATATAAAACTTATCTATCTATCCTTGTGTAAAGTTTGTGTTATTCATGTGCTTACAATTGAAGAGAATAAGGTCTGCCTTGAAACCCAAACATGTGTGTTTTATCAAAGATATCAGAAAATTGTTTATAAATATTTGGTGCTGGATGATTATCATCTATGTTAACAATATTTAAAATTATTTGTTAAATACATAGGTCCTAGATGAAGTGTTAATAGTTCTAAAAGTCATTGCTGCTTTAGTCTTGTTGTTAGTGTATGTTTTTTTTTTTACATTTGGTAATATATTACTGATTTGATAAAAGCAACAGTTGGTTCAACATTTTAATTTGATGGTTTACAGATTTTTGATGTGAAAGATTTGGGTCGGTCAGTCAATAAATAAATGAAAAATATCTGGCATGAAATAGATATGTATAGAATTACTGTGTAATTCAGCTTTATTACAATATTTGTGTTCTATTTTTTTGACATTATTCCTTAAATATTTTTGCCAGGTAACCTCACTTTTGATAACTAAATGAATGGGGAAAAAATTGTACAATCTATGAAACAAGATGATTCCAAATTGTTTGTTTTTTTTTATCATGATACTTTCAGCTTAATGTCTTTCCCCTTTGTTGGGTCCATTTTGTATATGAGAATGTAGCAGTTTATCCCCAAATGGTCCAATATGAAATCTGACAGAATTATGACAAAAAAGAAAAACAAACATTTTGTATAAGGCTATTAGCATAGGTTTCTGTTCTGTAAAATTATTTGCATGAACAACATTCCCAGATCGTTTGGATTGTTTTTGGAATTTAATATTTTTAAGAACACAAACATATTTTATTTCTTAGAATAGAACGGATGATGTGTTATCATTTTTAACTGAACATGATAAAATAATGCACATATAAATTAAAGGTAAATAGTACTGACCAGATATATTTATTTATTTTTCAGGTATATTGAATTAGGTAGTGTAGGCAAGAAAAAAAAAAGCATGAAATTCAAAAAAAAATTCTTTTCTGAAAATTGTAAAAATTAGGTCAGTTGATCTGTAAATCATCAAATTATAAAACCGTTGCCTAAGTTATATAGGGAATCCATCCTAAGGTGATGGGACAACCATTAACTTAAAACCTTGTTGTTACTGTAACCTTATTTTGTTCATTGTGGTTTTATATTTATTGGTTGGTTTAAATGATTTTAATCTTGGGGTTTTTGATTCCCTTGCCTTCAATCATTTGTTGTTAGGTTATTTGTATTGCTGGGTTGCTGCCATATTGACATATACAGCACATGTTGTTTTATTAATAGTAATACTAAGTTTTGTTGTGAAGAAGCTTAATTTTGTATTATGTACTGTTTTAAAATGCAAGTTATAAATTTTCTTTAGTGTATGGCTATTCATCTAATTTTATTAAAATTAAAATGTAATTTGCATTTCTGTCATTGCTCCAAATCTACTATTTCCAAATTCATACAAAAGTGAATTGCCATCCAAAAGACAATTTTACCTAGCAAATAAATTTGAACCAAACTTCTTTTAAAAAAGAAGTCTACCAGAGTTAAATTAAGATTGTAATTGATTATGAGCCTTACACAGCTCATTACACATGTTTTAAATTTTGATACTGTGTAACAGCTGTATTATAGATTTGTTGTAACGGTCTTCACAAACGTGTAGAAATATCAGCACTATACTAGAACCGGACAAATGGACAAATATTAAGCTTGTTCTGCCATTGAATGGAATTAACTTTTTTGCCATATATTTATTTGCCTCAACTGAGATCAAAAGTTATTCTTTGCATACATCATTAGGACAAATGGTGCAAAATTGAGGTCAATCTCAGTATAAAAGTCTTTGAGTGCAAAATTGATATATACAAAACACTTGTATAATTTGCCATATTGAATAGTTCTCATTGTTTTAATTATTGTATTATTAAGGAACTTGACTAGTACAGTTTACTTTTAACAGTATCTTTAAAATATTTTGCATTGTGAATACCATATACCTCTCATCAGTCAGACATGAATAATGATATGAGAAGTATTCATTTCCTGAGTGTATAATTGTTTATTTTGTATCATTGATAGCTGCTCATTTTATTGAAGATGATTTAAGTTTTTTTCATTTATCAGCTTACATGTGTATGATTTGTTTGCTATTTGAATGACTGTACACATATATACACACAAACACGCACACATATTTACATATGGAAATTTGAAGGACATATTTTAATCAATTTTAATTTGATTAATTTTATTACTAACACTTTATATGATAGTATCATTAACATTATGATATAAAATAGTATTAAGGCTTATAGATGAACCAATATCAGATAGACAGATGCGCAACATATTCTCAAATTTGTATTGCTTGTTCAATTTTGAAGACCATGTGATGTATTTTGGTGAAATTGTTTTATTGCAGTTAACTCGTATCTCTATTCATTGACATCATACAACAAGCTAACTTATTAGGGTGGGCAAATAATATGTGAACTTAAATAGTCCTGGATATGTCATATTTGGATCTTTTATTGTGAGTATCCCTAGATGTAACAGTTTAGGTTTAGCAGGAAGCCCTTGCTGAGACTTTTTGAAATGGAGTTTCATAATTATTTTTCAGCATTTTTAGGCCCTACAGCAGCCAAAATACTTTGTTCTCTTTTAGATTCTTACAGAACATTATAAATCTAACACAGATATACCAAGTGAATAATGCAGGCTCCTAGGAACCTTTGTTCTTGTTTTGTATTCAAAATGATTTGACCAACAAGAAGTTTGAAAAAAAAAACCTCATTTTGGAAAGGTTATAACTGGAGTAAAGGGCTGTCAGTAAAACTGTCCAATCATATCACAGCTTTTGATTTTACATGTGGATGGAAAGGATGTGATGGTATGCAATTTCTTGAGTGTTAACTTTGCAGCTTTTTGAATAAAACAATGTTGGAAGTGTTATGAATGGACATGTGAAGTCTAAAGCCAGATTTTGTATAGCCACCAATGCATGAGAAATTTAAATGCAAGGATGAGTGATAAAGAGAATATAAGTGGAATATGTGTTGCTGCTTTATAGATATGTTAATGTTAATGTAGGAAATACATTGATGTGTTTTTGTAGTATTACTTAAATTTATAGACAATGGTATATGTTTAAGGGTTTGGGTAATATTGTTTTGAAAGTTATATATATGATTGATTTATAAAGTGATATAATGAATTCCATGCAGTTTAATCAGTTATTAAATGATTTGTATAAGTATAATTCTGATTTTGAATTCTTACAAGCCATTGTACTCATTCACTGTTATTTGTACAGTATGGGTATAACTACTTTGTTGCACATCTATTGATGCTTCATTGAGATTTTTCAAACAAGTTTCCATTATCAGTCAAGTTGTAGATAGAATCTTTAATCCCTTTTAAGGGAAAAACCAGAAGAGCTTAATTATAGCTTTCATTCCTGAGTTGAAAACATGCTAGTGTACAGAACAACCAATCACTTTCACCAAAATACCATTTATATACAACAGGTCTATACCAAAGACAGAACAAGGCTCATGTTAAATTTAAAGATGATTTACCAATGGTTAGTTAATATTTATATAAGGGTTGGTCTAAAAAATAACAGTGAAATGTTTAAATTTGCATAAAGGTTCAGGGACAGGATGACCATGCTCTATTTATGCCTTTGTTGTCACTTAAAGTTAAATCCAGTGGTAAGTGTTTAAGACACACAAATGACAAACATTTATACTATGTTCATGTTTCAAAAGATTTGGGCAGGCTGTATAATCAATATCATTGGGAAACTGAAGAAAACACAACTAACGTCAGTAAGGGGCATAACCATCAAATTTAAACTTCGACTTGCAGGAGTTTCTGCAAGGTTTGGGTATTAGTGATCACCAAATCACTTAAATCTTGTATGTATTTGAATTGGGTGTGACATATTGTCTCTTGGTGGTTCAATTTTCTTGCTTTTGCTGGCAAAATAGGGTTAATTCCTAACCCCAAAAGACATCTTTGCTCCAAGATGTCTTGTAAAAAGATGTAATTATAGGTAAGACATTTATTTGAATAAGACAATGGCATTTATATTTATTTTTGTTTTGTCAATTCAGTATGCTTATGATGCCAGCGATAAAAACAACTTCTTATATATAATATTGTGTTTTAATCATTTATCAATCATGTTAAGTTTCGTAGTAAGGTCCATTTCAAACACTGTAGCAAAAGATCTTCTGTTTAATGTGAATACAACGGTTGTCAGGTAATAATTGTAGTAAAACCTTTATTAACAAGACCAAAACTCGTTCTAGACGTGTGTCGCTGCATTCAATTGATTGAGGTAACCTGTATACTGGAGCATAACTGATCATTCCTTTTCACTGGAGCCGAGACAATTCCTTGTACAATGAGTGTCGTAAATTTTCAAGCTATCGACAAGCAGGGAGGGAATATATGGCAGTCGCAACAATTGCTTACTCGCTCAAACTCAACATTATCAAGTGGCAGACCAAATATTAATTCTTAAAAGTCGAGCGGTTACTAGACCTTCACTGTATTGCTCAATTTTTGTCTCCCCTGTGACGAAAGTCGCGGGAGGCTAGATACAGGTGTTGCTTTTTCTTCGTCGTCGTCGGGGATATTGTTAAGTTTTCTGCTTAAGTTAGTTTGTTTGAAACTACTTGTGATAGATCAATGATATTTTGTATGAAGTTGCATTAGTATCAGTACATACCAGTTTGACGACTATTTTGAGGCCCTTTCCCTAGGTCATGGTCCAGTGACTGGGATAATTAGCAATTTTCAATATTAAGTTTTTTACTTAAGTTAGTTTGATAGGAACTACTTGTGACAGATCAATGATATTTTGTAAGAAGTTGCATTACGATCAGTGCATCTCAGTTTGACGATGGTCCAGTGACTGAATTAATTAGCATTTTTCAATGTTAAGTTTTCTACTTAAAAAACAATGAACGAAATACGAATATTTAAAACAGCAACAAACGATGAACGAAATACGAATATTTTAAACAGCAACAAACACTCAACTACAGGCTCCTAGCTTGTGACAAGCACACACAGAATGTTGCGGGGTTAAACATGTAACTGTTCGCTGGCGCCCAACCCTCCCCTTACCTGGGACGGTGGTGTACCAGAACAATATATGAACAAACTATAAAAATCAGTTGAAAAGGGCTTAACTCATCAGATCGATACCAAGCAGAAAAATTAGTAACGCAAACAGACCGACGTGGCAGTTAGTTTGATAAGAACTTCTTGTTGTCTAAGGTCAATGATATTTTCTAGAAAGTTTTATTACTATCAATACATATCAGTTGGATGACTATGGGGAGGCACTGCCCCTTACGTCATGGACCATTGACTTTCCATTAATTAGCACTTTTCAATGTTGAGTTTTCTGATTAAGTCAGTTTGATAGGAACTACTGGTCATAGATCAATGATATTTTCTATAAAGTTGCATTACCATTAGTACTATCAGGTTCACGATTATTTTGAGGCCCTGTCCCCGTAGGTTATGGTCCAGGGAATTTCAATTAATAACAAATTTTCAATATTACGTTTTCTCCTTAAATTAGTTTGATAGGAACTACTTACAAAAGACAACGATATTTTCTATAAAGTTACATTACTGTCTGTACATCTCAGTTCGTCGCACATTTCGAGGCACTGCGCACTAGGCTATGGTTCCGCGACTTTGAATTAATTAGCATTGTTCCGGGGTCGATTTAAGGTGCTTCTGAAAGGTAAGCAAAACATGCTCAAAATGTGGCACCCGTCGTGTTGCCCCTGTAAATACACATTCGGTAATGAATCTAATTTGATGATGTCATATCCGAGGAAAAGAGAAGGGTTGTTGTTACGATTATTGGAACATATCCGTCGTCATCTGTGAAACAGATATTCCATAACGGTCAACCAACTCCAGATGGCGTTGATATCGATATGTATATTAAAAATGTCTTTTTATGATTTTTGACCATCGTAAATTACAGCTGCCTCTTACATAAAACAGATTCTAAAATTTAAAAAAAACAGGGGTATGAACATGCACAACAAAAATCCTCTTCATGTTTATTTGTAGTTACGGATAATGCACTTTTTCTGAAAATACTTTGTTGTTTCTCGAAAGTGCGTAATTTGATCAAATGTAAAGAGAAACGAAGTTCTCTCAAAAAAAGCTCTACTTATTATCAGTTTTGAGACAAGATGGTATATCATATCGTCATTGAGACATCTTCATATAATATATTTATTTTCCTAATCCCTGTATATTTCTCATAAGTGATTTTCAAAAGCTTTATAGTCTCGGGCGAAAACTGGGTCTTAATGCCCCAAGTCCTTTATTAGTTTCATGAGAATATTAAAATTTCTCATGATTATTTTCTAACTAAAATGTATCATAACAGAGACTTTCCCTTTTAAATGGTTAATTTTAACCTGCGTCGCCAGACAACGGCATGTCTAGTATCTGCTTGACATGTCAGCGTCCGTCAGAAACACAAAAAGGCACCCAACTTCAATAGTTTTCCTTCAACATTATTCAAACTTTGTGTATTGATCGCATACATATTTGTAGATTTTAGACTATTTTTAAGTATTGAATGAACTGAACCTAATGGAATTTTACTCATCATGTCTCGACACTAGTGGATATATAATTTAGAAGAATGGAACTTCTTCGGAAGAAAGATAAGAAGCTAGCAATATCCTTTAACTTTACGTTCCGCTATATAGATGATGTTCTCTCACTAAATAATACAAAATTTGGTGACTATGTTGAACGAATCTATCCCATCGAAATAGAGGTACAGGATACTACAGATACAGTTAAGTCTGCCTCATATCTTGACTTACATCTAGAAATTGACAATGAGGGTCGGTTGAAAACAAAGCTTTACGACAAAAGAGATGATTTCAGCTTCCCAATTGTGAACCTTCCATTTCTATGTAGCAACATTCCAGCAGCGCCTGCATACGGAGTATATATCTCCCAATTGATACGATATTCCCGGGCTTGTATTTCCTATCTTGATTTCCTTGATAGAGGATTGCTGCTCACAAGGAAGCTATTAAACCAAGAGTTCCAAATGGTGAAGTTGAAATCATCCCTTCGTAAATTTTACGGATGCCATCACGAGTTGGTTGACCGTTATGGAATAACCGTTTCACAGATGATATCGGATATGTTCCTTATGTCGTAACTACAATACCCTTCCTTTTTCACGAATGTGACCTACCGAATTAGACTATTTACCGGATTTGTAATAACATAAGCAACACGACGAGTGCCACATGTGGAGCAGGATCTGCTTACCCTTCCGGAGCACCTGAGATCACCCAAGTTTTTGGTGGGGTTCCTGTTGCTTAGTCTTTAGTTTTCTATGTTGTGTCATCTGTACTATTATTTGTCTGTTTGTCTTTTTATTTTTGGCCATGGCGTTGTCAGTTTGTTTTCGATCTATGAGTTTGACTGTCCCTCTGGTATCTTTCGTCCCTCTTTTAATATTCTGACAATTCACGAACATCCAAAAAAAAAAAAACCCAATAAATTATCTATGTAATAACAATAAATTTACAACATAGTTAAGTAAATCAAGTTATCGATGAATATGCAATTGCTAGGTATTCCTCATTCTCTTTTTTTTTATCAACTTTTTGACAGATTTCAATGAAAAGTCATTTGTGTTTTTTTCTGAGGTAGATGGGTTCTTAATCATATGAAAAGTACAGATTAAAATGTTTTTTTTTGTGTACAAGACACCGTTCCTAGATTTGAAATATAGATAGAAGATACTAAAAGGATATTACACTCGATGACAAACTGACCACGTCACGGCAAAAAATGGAAAACGAACAGGAGACCAACACAAGTATACAAAACGCAACATAGAAAATTAAAGACAGCAAAACGAACCACAGGTTATCTCAGGTGCTTCGGAAAGGTAAACAGAACATGCACATAATGTGGCACTCGTCGTGTTTTTCTGTACATAGAAACTCATTAAAAAATCTAATTCGATGATGGCACATTCGAGGAAAAGAGGAGGGATTGTTGTTACGATTATTGGATCGTATAAGTCGTTATTTGAGGAACAGATATTCCATAACGGTCAACCAACTCCAGATGGCGTCCGTAAAATGTTCAAAGGGAATACTACAAATTCACCACTTGGAACCTTGGGTTTAATAGCGTCCTTGTGAGTAGGTGCAACTCACTATCAAGGAAATGCAA